AAGAGTTGAGAGTTCAATACCTGGCCACAGCAGAGGGAATAAAAACTTAGAGAGTTGAGTTACTAAAGGGAATTAACTGATACCAAGGTATCCAAAGGTATGGCATGTGGAATTAGAACAATTTACTCATGTTGACTAAATAAAAGTTTGGTTGGAAATTCCAATGTATATCACCTGAAAAAGGCTGGAGTGTACAATGGACAAAACGTTGTGAATATAGCTATAAAGATGAGGACAACAGTCCAAACTATGTAAATAGTTTAAGTAACATTTTTTTGTCTTTAAATAACCTGCAACAATTGATAAGCTGTAATCAATCAAAAAAATAAATCAAAGAAATCAATCAATCAAATTAATCAAACAATCAAATTGTTGTATCCTTAAAGAAGGTTACAAACAGACAAAGATAGTACCCGAGTGAAAGGAACAGCAACATGCATGTAGATGAAAGAAAGAGGTTTATTGTAAAAGAGAATACACTACTGAAAGACAGGGAATCGGGTGGCAGGCTAGTAATTCCTAAAGCAAGCCCCCAGGTATAACCTGTGTTCACTATATATATCTACTGATATAGTCAGTTCACAATAGGTGATAGGGAGTGTGGGACATTCCATTACAACACCACCTGCTGAGCTAATTTTCCTATGAAATTTTGCTCCCGACCTCTTTTTTTGGGGGTCAGGACATAACTTTTTGACTCTTTTCCTCTTCCTAGTACTTTTCTATCTTGCCATTAATCAATCAAATCAATCAGTTCAAATGTAAGTAATATAAACTCCAAATCCCCATCTTACAAACATTTCTCTTAATAATAATTTTAAAATAATTTACGAAGGCAATGTTATTCTATTTATGGTAATTGAATTTTTGGCGATTACTTTACCAGTTTTCCATTGTTAGCTACTGTGTGTCTGAAAAATGGAGCAATTTTTGTGGTCACCATCATTGGATTGGAGTAAAGTGTAATATCTACCCTCGGGCGGATAAACCATATTTCATCTCTCAATTGTATTACTGTCTGAAAATATTTTTAAGACATGCCCAATCTCAGGAAAAGGCTGCCAGTGGAAATACCTTCCTCATTGCAATGGAGAAAAGTCATCAGTAGTAATACCAATGCCAGTGCAACCAACAGTTGAAGGGGCTGGGTTATTTTTGGATATGGAATGGGTACAGGAGCTGGGCTATATTTGGACCTGGCATGGGTACATGCACATGCACTCCCCACATTTAAACTGATCTTGCTTCACAACCTGCCAGTGTGGGATGGCAAGTAAATAAAGGGTGTTCCAATAACTTGGAGTGATTTTAAATGTGAATTTAGTTTAAGCATCTAATGATTTTTTTCTTTTTCTTTCAGATTTAACAATTTAAGTCTTTGGCAATTTTAACCAAAAAGATTAACAATCAAATGTGTTGAAGTTATCAAAGCCTATTACAAAAATGGACATTCAAACAGAATATGAATGAGAAGTTCCCAGATCACATCATCTCTCGAAACTACAAAGTCAATTGACCATCACGATCATGCAACTTGACACATTTATTAGGTTGGTGCAAAAATAATGACGTAATAATGTCATTTTTTGACGTTAAAAATACGTCAAAAAACGATATTATTACGTCATTATTATTTTTGCACCAACCTAATAGATTTCATCCTTTGGGGTCATCTCAAAAGTAAGGTCTAAGCCAACAACATTTCAACAGCTTAAGGATGAGATGATAAGGCATACTGGTGAGATCGAGGAGCAACTATGTAGAGGCATCATCAAAAACATGGACCAATTAATGGAGGTGTGCCACCGAAGCCATTTGGTTTGGTTTGGTTTGTTTTATGGTATATCAACCACAATCAGTTATTTAATGCCAACAAAATTTTTATTGCTGGTAATACTGTTTTGTCAAAAATCTACTTCTGGTAATATTTTTTTCAAAAATGTATTGCTGGTAATATTTTTTTTGTTTTCAAAAATGTATTGCTGGTAATATTTGTTTTCAAAAATATATTGCTAATAGGTTTTTTTTTCCCCTTCAAAAGTTTATCTCTGGTAATAATTTTTTACAAAGTATTTCTGGTATTAAAACCTATTTTTACACTTTCATAATACTTTTTACCTCAGTTTGGGGGTTAACTATTTGCCCATAGCTGGGACCCTAACAGGTGCTACCACCCCGGGTCAGGGTAGACCTGGGAACACCAGCAATTAAGAGGTGGTTCCACACTCCTCAAAACTTTCTGATCAGAGGCCTTGTGAAGCCTTTTGGGCAATATTATTTTTCACACATAAATGCCATGACTTAAATGACATGATCCAAAAGAGAAATAAATAAATTTTCCCCAATAACACTGATTTATTTACTGATCCGTCTAAATGAAACACCCTTATATATAATCCATCTTAATGAAACACACTTTACAATCATTTCTTGGCCTTTTGTTTTTTGTCCTCCTTTTTATTTTCTTGTCTCCACCCCACCCTCCCCTTTTTAGGTGACAGATGTCTCTGTTCTCTGGATTTGTTCAACCCAGTTAATCGAGATTTCTGCCACATTTTTGGGAAGGGTCCAACTACTAATATTGTTTTGTTTCTTGTACAAACAGTTTTCATTTTAAATAAATATTGGGGTTTTGATTTTTTTCCCCCATCTCTCAATAATTGTGTAAATAAAAATTCATGTTAGGGCTTTTCATAGAGAAAATGTGGTATTTTGGTGATTGTAGTGTGACAGCCAAGAGTAAATGCGTTGTTATGGTGAAAGGAAAATTGTAAGTACGAATGGGTCAACGAATGAGACTAGTTAGTTTTGAGGTAGCACTAGAGAAGACCAGTCTTTTCCCCACCCATCACATTTTAGTTCTTGTGGCACATTTTGTACCTATTATGGTGAATAAATATTAAGATCAAAGTGTAGTATCTATTCTTATGAGTTTAATCTTATTCTATCTCACTTCTATTTTTCTTTCATTTTCTCAATGAAACCAAGTCATGTCTTTTCCTCTCATTCCCCGAATTCAAAACATAATAGTCCATTATTTATGAGATATTGGCAGGGCATAATGGTCGTTCAAACTAACAAAGAGAGGGACAAGCCCAATTATAATAGGATATTTGTCATGTTAGAAAAGAATTCACTTCGTAACCATCTTTTGGTTTGGCATTCACTGACTCACATTTTTTTTTTAGATCAAATTTATTCTTACCATTTTTGTTTCTTGTCTGTCACAATCTGGATTTAAATTCGTTTAAGAGTTTGTACATCAAATATTTGTTTTATTTGTCAATTTTAGCTTTGATTGGCCAAGTCAGAGATTAGCTTTCTAGGGGAGGTAGAATCTAATTAGTTGCTTGAACTTTGTCCCTTTCACCCATATCTGCAATGTGGGTATGAATATTCATGCACAATAAATTTCCTGCTTTTCGTTTAATTATGCATTGGCATTATGCTATGATCAGAAAAGCCAAGAAATCTTGAGAAATCAAATTTCCTAATAAAAATCAAAAACAGAAAATGCTGCCACAGCAAAATCCATTTTATATGGAAGCCTAAAAGACAATGAAACTTATTAATACAAACTTCTGCTGAAAAGCATAGAACAAATAATTTGTTGCCAGGTCTTATAAAAGTTATTTATGTAAGAAGAGAATTCTTCATCATATTTTAAACAAGTGTATATATATATATATATATATATATATATATATATATATATATATATATTAGTATATTTATTGACATTAATCTCAACCTCTGAGGCGAATAAAGAAAACAGCAACCAGCGAGTAAATTCAAGCTCTCCCAACTGGTATTTCAACCTTGAGTCATTCTTTCTTGAGTTCTGTCTCAAAATCACACTAACTGACTGTTCTTGTCGCCAACCATGAACATCACTCGAAGAACTGCCCCACTGGGAAAAAAGTAGTTGCTTTTATATTTGTCCATATACCCATAATCCCTTGCATCTTCATGCGATCCCATAATTCATTGCGTCCCTGTCCCATAATGCATTGCATCTTTATTGCATAAAAATGCAATGCAAGTCCCCCCTCATTCTTTTACGTTATCTGTCCGAGGACGGATTACGGCAGAGTGGTAATCGCTTTTTTTCTCCCTCATTTCAACTGCAGTAGCTTTACATGCTAAGCAAATACGGGCTCTTTTTTGGCGGGGACAAGGCAAGTCACAACCAGTTGTGCTCGTCCCAGGTTCTGTCTCATGTCCGCCACAACCTCAAAGGAGAAACATGATATTTTGAAGTTATTCAGTGATAGTGTCACAATGTTCTAAATTGTGACAAATTTGATCAAAGTACAATGGAATAAGAAATTAAAAACACCAGCAAAAAAAAAAAAAATCACTGACATTAAGCAAGTCACAAAATCAAACTTGAGAAAAGTTAAGCTAATAAGCAAGTTGTCTGACCAACAATAAAATATCTGAAAAAAAAAAAAAAAAAAAAAAAAAAAAACCTGATTATTTTTTAGGGGTTATCAACCTTTTTGCAGGTTATTTAAAGCCAGCAAGTATTTTAGATTACCAGAATTTTTGGGTGACAACAATTTTGTACTGATACAAGTACTAATTAACCCATACCTTTATGGTTATTTGCACATGATATAATGGACCGAACTCAGCTCCCTGATTACCAATTCCAAGCCATTCCATTACACAACCTGGTACTCCCAACCAGTCACCCATCTAAGCTCTAACCATGCTCAATGTTGCTTAACTTTGGTGATCATAAGAGAACCAGTGTCTCAAAGTGATATGGTCATAAACCTGAGACTTAAGATGGAAGAGTTATACATAGACATTGAAATTAACCCTTCTTTAGTACTGTGAGGCATTGTCACAGCATAAATAATACTAATTAACCCATAGCAGCAGGGGAAAGAGGTGGATGCATACCTTTCCAAAGAGTATCTGCCTGCAAGTGAATGAACCTGACTGGAATTGGAACTCAGCTCTCCAATTTCCAATTCCAAACCATTATCCATTACACCACCTGATATTCCCAAGGTGTCACCCATCTAAGTACTGACTAGGCTCAACGTTGCTTAACTTTGGTGATAGTATGAGAACTAGTGTTTGAACGTGAATGGCTGTAAGCCCTGAAGAACCTAGTGCTGCAAATACAAACAAGGAGCAGAATGTAAAGAAAATTGGCTGAAGACATGAAAGCAACTAACCTACGACATTTAAGCAAACATCACAGAAAGAAGAATGTAAGTTAAATAAAATACAGGAAAACTGATTTCTCAACAGTAATTGTTAGTGATGAATGTAGAGCTACATTGGATGAACCAGATGGTCTGTGCTAGAAGTTGAGTCCTTCATGGAAATTAGCAATCAAGACAATTTAGAAGACATCAGAAGGAAAAGTAGACTGGCTTTTTGGATATTATTGAAAGCATTAAAATTATAATAGTTGATGAGATTATCAAGGTAAATCCAGAGAATTTGAAGCTCATAACTGAGAAACCTTAAGCTAAACAATACATACAGGTGAGATTATGTTGCTTTTAATTTTGCAATGCAGGCAACAGATTTCTGTATTAGCTTGTGTATAATACAAGAAATTTTAATATATGTCTATATTTCAAAGCGGAGGTATTGTAGCTATTTACATAATTACATTGTTTGGAAGTTGTCCTCATTTTTATTGCCATATTCACAATATTTCGACCATTTTATGCTCCAGCCTTCTTCAGGATCTGTCTATATTTATGAGATGAGATTTTGTCACTATTTACACAAATTACATTAGTCAGACTGTTCTCCTCATCTTTATTCTCATATTTACAGTCTATATTTCTGAGACAAGGTATTGTAACTATCTACATTGTTCAGACTGTTGTCCTCATCTTTATTGCCACATTCATGATATTTCAGCCATTGCATCCTCTGGCATTCTCTGGGATCTATCTATATTTCTTAGATGATGTATTTTAACTATTTACACAAATTATATTGTTCAGATTGTTGTCCTCAACTTTATTGCCATATTCACAACATTTTGTTCGCTGTACACTCCAGCCATTTTTAAGATCTGTCTATATTTCTGAGATGGGGTAATGTAACTATTTACATTGTTCAGACTGTTGTCCTCATCTTTATTGCCATATTCACGATGTTTTGGCAGTTGTACGCTCCAGCCTTCTTCAGGATATGTCTATATTTCTGATATGAGGTAATGTAACTATTTACATTGTTCCAAATATTGTCCTCATCTTATTCACAATGCAATGCTTGTAAGACAAGGATTTGGCTAGTTTATATTATTTACATTTGGTCTAATTGATTTGTTTTCTGCAGCTTATCAGCTGTTGCAGCTTATCTCCATGTTTTTTTTACTGCTGCTGTGGTTGGGTATTGAACTCACAACCCTTTGGATTACTACAACCAATGCTTTTGTTCATTGGGCCATGTATCTATCCACTGGGCATAAATGAAAATTAAAGCCACAAAATATTATTTACACTTTTTACACTGTTCCGATTGTTTTCCTCATCTTTATTGTCATATTTACAATGTTTCGGCCGTTGTACATTCCAGCCTTCTTCAGGTGATATATATTGGAATTTTAAACCGAACCCTTTATTTCGTCCCTGTGCCATGCATTTTCTGGATATCTTGGTTTCAATTAATTCCCTTTAGTAACTCAATTCTCCAAGTTTTTGTTTACTTCTGCTGTGGCTGGGTACTGAACTCACAAGGTCAAGATACTTTTTGGATTACTTCAACCAATTCTTTTATTCATTGGGCCATGTATCTATCCACTGGGCATAAATGAAAATTAAATGCAAAAAGTGGAGGTGTCGTGTTATAGAGAAGTACACGTTTTTTTTTAGAAGTTTTTACTCAGGATAGAGAAAAACAATTCTTATTTGAAGCTGCAAGATTGCACATATACTTAGAACAATAGATAATAAAATACAAAGTAGACAGGTGCTTATAATTGTTTACAAAAGTCATTTGATATGTCAGTAATATTTCTTCTTTGGGAATCAGCCTAATTGAACATCTTTTGTCTCAAAGAGAGACAATTCACTGAAATTGATTAAAAAAGTAATTAATATAGGGAATACACAAGATCAGTGATGTTTTGATAACGTTAATGTTACAACAAAGGACTAACTACTTTTTTTTTTTTTTTGTTTTTTTCCACTTTAAAAATGAAGCAATAATTCCACTGCTGTGAGGTTGTTGTTTCGTATTCTTCCATTTGTTTACACAAAGCATCCAGTTTGAAAACTTCAAACAATTCGAGAAAAACGAAACAATACAAAATGGAGACGTGAACTACACCAACATCATCTATCTAGATGAATAAATGCGACATTGGAGCTCAATTCTCCCAATGCATTCCGAAGTTAAAAGGTCCCAACTCTATAGTAATTTGGTATTTACTCAAAGTCTTCCATAGATTAGTGGTTCATCAATTTTTTTTCCTCCAGGCTGCACTTTGAAATAAGTTTTTGGATGATAAGAAATACTTTTATAAACAACTCAAGAAATGACCCCAAATAGTGGCTGAAGTGTAGCTGAACATAACTTGATCATGGAATCAATCCGGAAAGTCTTAAAAAATACATTATATATATATATATATATATATTTGGTTGGATAGATGTGAGTTTGTGACCCTGGGTTTCACGCTTTAGCAATCGTCAGACAAACTGATTAATGTTTTAAAAATTTGGGTTTATGTAGATTTGTGTATTGGTGTTATTGTGGAAATTTTGTCGTTTTTGTCATTCATCGTACTAACGAATAAAACATCGATGTATGCAGACACATATACATACTTGGTCGTCCATCGGGACTCATACATATATAAACATATGTGGGCAGTTTAGGATATGACACATGTATGCACACACACACACACACATATATATATATATATATATATATATATATATATATATATATATATATATATATATATAATAAATAAATAAATAAAGTGATTTTTATTTTCAAAAACTATATGCAATCGTCAGGCACACGTGGCCTGATGATTGCATATAGCATGAAACAGACTGTCATTTTAAGTGTTGATTCTATGTTCACTTTATATTTACACACTCTATCTCTGATATTGAGCACTTTATCCCAGAAATATAGCACACCTTAAGACTATATATATATATATATATATATATATATATATATAATATTTTAAGGCAATTCACCCCAAGCAAGTCGGGAGTGCCACTAGCACACAAGGGGTTACAGAGGATTGAGAACAAGAATAAAGAGGCATATTTGAGGAAAGGATACAGAGAAGGACAGGGAACAAGGACAGGGAACAAGATCAGGGTGTCTGATGTCAATTGAATATACTTGAATATTTGAAGATTATAGTCATCAGGGAAGCAAGTAAGGGGAAGGAAGTTTCACAGATGGGAAGTGCGAGAGGAGAAGATGTTTGAGAAAAAGAAATGGTTACATTTAACTGTTTTGACAGTGAAAGAGTGGGACTGAGATGCTAGCCTGGTTGCTCATTTAAATTCATGTAGTCTACTATGTTCAAAGAAGTAATATCTTTTCTGAAGATTCCCAGGCTTTTTCTCACTTAAAGGCTTTTTCATCATTGATCTTAGGAAGCATTTGTATACACCTGACAGTTCAGATATTTTTTAAAGTGTTTAGCACCATGCATGGCATCCATATGAAAATCACGATCTGACTATCTAAGAACATGGCTTGATTTTTCAGGCTGATGTTTTGGTAAAAATAGAGTTCAAATTCCAGTGAAATCCATTATATATATATATATATTCAAAATTGAAGGAGAGAGAAAATGTATAAAATCAGCCAGGAGAAATTATAAACAAACGAAAAGAATGGTAATATCATTCCTAATCTTTTGTTTAAGTTTGTGTGGAAAGTCAACATCTTCATGATACCATTATCTCCCTTCAAGTTAAATCTGCTATCCATTTTAGTTGTTGCTGCTCTTGGTAGTTCTCAAGTGATGTGGTTTCATTTAATTGGTTCAGTTCTTTGTTTATGATTCTGTAGTGCCAGTGTACAATGTTCCAATGTCCAATGTTCCTTTGCCAAGACCCTCAGGCTTTGGTGGATCAAAGCCTTTTTTCACCATTGATCTTATGAAACAGTTGCATACATCTGAATGGGTTTGACACCATGCATAACATCTATATGAATGTCTTGATCTGACAAGGATAGTTGATGCTTTGGTTTTGTAGCAATTTGTGGTATTTGGCAAAACTACCTCTGGCACAGCCTATGCTCAATTTCTTTTTCCCCTATACTTCATTCCTTATAACGGATCAATATGCTGAGGTATGTCAAGTATTTACTATTTGCTAATGCTCCATCCTCTTATATGCTTTTATATATATATATATATATATATATATATATATATACACACATATACATGTTTTACTATATATATATATATATATATATATATATACATGTTTTACTATATATATATATATATATATACACATATACATGTTTTACTATATATATATATATATATATATATATATATATATATATATAAATAAATTAAAAAATAATAATGTTTTATTTTATGAAAGTATTTATTTATTTATATATATATTTGATATTTCAAATTGTCCTCAATCTTTCATCAGAAATAACTGTTTGTTACAAATAAATTAAAATTACTAAAAAAAATAGTGGATATATTGGTGAATCTGGAAATAATTTTAGATTTCGTTTCAATAACCATAAACAAACAATACGTCAAAACAACCCTTATTCCCCCATAGCTAAACACTTTAATCAATCAGGACACTAATTAGAAAACTGCAAATGTTTATTGATAGACTCCAATTTTAGTTCCACATACACACACAGAAAAAAAAGAAACATATTGGATTTTAAAATTAAATTTTTTTTTTTAGACAACATTTAAAATATTTATGACAGATTTAAGTTAGGAATATCTGAACATTGACGTTCCATATCACGTGACACGTCCGTCTCTCTCAAGGAAGGACTTACTTGTTAACAAACAGTAATATTAATTTATTTGTAACAAACAGTTCTGATGAAAGATTGAGGACAATTTGAAATATCAATTATATATATATATATATAAATAAATACTTTCATAAAATAAAAATTATTTTTTTTTAATTTGCAACTTTTTTATATATATATATATATATATATATATATATATATATATATATATATATATGTGTGTGTTTTTATTTATATTATATATATATATATATATATATATATAAACCAGATGTCACATTGCTAAATTTGTTTCTGTCACTTAAAATTGAAGGAGAAAGAAATGGTATAAAACCAGTAAGGAGAAATTATAATCAAACAAGAAAAATGATGAAAAGGAAAATAACCACAACATTCTGCATAGGTATATACACACACACACAATGAAAAGAGAAAAAAAAAAGGAAAGAAACAGAAAATGAACAGTCAATTGTTGATACCCCCTGATGAGTGGATGGAACAATTGCTGGAGTTTCCATCCATGAATCTCTAGAGTTGGGATGTAAACCCCAAAATAACTTCTGAATGAGTAAATGATATGCCAAGAAAAAGTGCTCTATGCCAGCTGGGAAAAGCAATATATTTTATATAATAAAATCTGTTTATGACTACCAGTTCTATACAGGCTATTGAGAGCAGTCATCAGGGACCCAATAGTATTTGTTTGGTGATCTGAACACTTGTACCCTTTTGTATGCTTATATCATTTTGCTTAACCCAAGAAATTATAATTGATGGTAATTGATGATTATATATAATACGCCCACCAAATAAAATTGCAGAGGGAAAAAATACTCATACAACAAATAATGGGATAGCCAAACATCAGAACCACAATGAAGAATTCCCAAAACTGTCCTCGGTTGCATCACAAATGACGCACGAGACGGCATCAAACAGGACCGTTAGAAAATCTGAATAAACAACATCAAAAAGACAAAGTTAAAATGGTACAGACACATCTTAAGAGCCAACAATCTTTCCATTGTTGTCCTACGATGTTCCACGCGAGGTAAATGAAGAATAAACAGGCAGAGGAAGAAAATGGTCTGGCAATGTTACTAAGTCGACTGGAAGATCCTTCAGCAGATGCTCAGGCAAAAAATATTAAAGTAAATAATCAGCATTTAAACTTTTAATATCTGGAACTATTTTATTTCTTTGGAATAATAAAATAGCATCAAGTAAAAGAGACGAGTCTTTAATAACAATACTGAGAAATTATTATTAAAAAAAAAAAAAAAAAAAATGAGGCAATCAATACAAATGTCCCTAATGATATCAAATCAACATTATTACATCAGGAGAGATAAAAAAAAAAAAAACTCAAATTAATAAAAGCTTTCAATTTTTTTTTTTTTTTTTTTTACAGTTGGTTGACCTCTAAAGTCAAATCCATTGTGGGTATTTGCAACCACAGATTTTTTTTATTTTTAAAAAGCTGTCAAATATGGCAGAATGACTGACTCATTGCCAATTCAAGTAAACATTCATTTTATAACAGTCCAATACTACTTCATAATTAATATAAATTCTGAGACTAAAAAAAAAAAAAAATCATTTAGCAGAAACAGGACAAAATTAATTTAATTTTTTTTCTTTAATTTTAATTATATTCTTAAATTTAAATTAAATTATATTCTTTTCCTAATAAAAGTTTTTGGACCTATCTAGACAGTTGTGGACACTGTTACAATTATACACAATGAGGATCAACTTCTAATAATGGACAACAACAAAAAACACACACACACATATATATATATATATATATATATATATATATATATCACACATTATGAAATCCAACAAAAGACATTTTATGTTGATACATTCTTTTTAGGGATACAAATATGTAAGTAAATGTTATGTTTATAATAAACAGTATTAAACAACATTTACCGGCCTGAATGTCTGAGAAATTTTCACAGAAAATATTTGGCCTCTGACAGGTTTCGAACTTGTATCCTATACAGAATTTCATTTAGCTTGACGTGCATTTTACCGATTTGGCCACAGATTATATTCGGTTAGCAAAGTCAAATTTACTGTATTTAAACTTCAATCTTCCATGAATCTCTCATGTACATTCATATCTGCTCAATGCATACCCAAATTTAAACAAATAACGTCACACATTATGAAATGGACAAAGTCCGACAATTATTTTAAGACATTTTTATGTTTATACATTCTTTTTAATCTTACAATTATTTACACTATTTACATTGGTCAGACTACTGTCCTCATCTTGATTCTCATATTCATGACGTTTCGGCCACTACACCCCAGCCTTCTTCAGGTGATATACATTGGTTTTTCAAACTGAACCCTTTATTTTGTCCACTGGAGAAGATTGTTCTAATTCCACATGCCATGCCTTTTCTGGATATTTCAGTTTTAGTAACTCAACTCTCCAAGTTTTTGTTCATCTCGGCTTTTTGGGTCAAGCTGCTCGATTATTTCAAAATTCCAACGTATATCACCTGAAGAAAACTGGAGTGCTCAACAGTCAAAATGTTGTGAATGTGGCAATAAAGACAATGACTACAGTTCAAACAATGTAAATAGTTACAATACCTAATCTCGGAAATATAGCTAGAAAATCTTATAAAAGATTTAAAACTTTTTTTTTTCTTGGCTTCAAATTTAAGATTCTACTGCTCAGCCCATGGTAGGGGTTGTCCAAACTGAGTTGAAAGGGAATGTATTATTTCAGTTTCTTGTTTCAAACACAAACTGTGTGTGTGTGTGTGTGTGTGTGTGTGTGTGTGTGTGTATTAAATGACACAAGCAAATGTAATTTATTCATGCACAACACATGGCTTATGGCCACATCATGTTGAAACATCGGTTCCTGTATGATCACCAAAGTTAAGCAACATCTAGCCTGGTCAATACTTAGATGGGTGACTGCTTAGGAATACCAGTTGGTGTAAGCTTAGATGCGTGGTAGGTGTAATGGACTGTTAATCTGTTAACTGTTAATCAGGAAGCCAAGTACCAGTTGCAGTTGGGTCAGTTATATTCATTTACATGCAAATAAATTTGGGAAAGGTATGTATACACCTCTTCTTCATCCAGCTATGGTTAATTAGTAAGACTTGTATCACTAAATCATTATTATAACAAAAAAACAAAAAAAATATTCTTACAATCTAAAAATATTTTCTGGCTTTAAATAACCTGCAAATCAATCCATCAGGCACAACACAGATGTGCATATATATTATATACATAAATATAAAGTCACATGTGTGACGGACAGAGAATCTGGTCTTTTTTTTGTAATAGAAAATTTATGGTGGGGGGGGCATTATTTCTAATTTTAGTTATGGGAGGAAATAGTAGTTAGCTGCAAATAACAATAATGATGGCACAAGAAGCCATTTTATCAGTCGGGCCCTCAGAGCTTTACAAAATGTGTTAAACTCCCAACTATGAATTCATCTGACAAGATGCATTGCAATTAGATTTCCCACCAGATTCACAAGATATCTCCAAGATATTTTTTCTGTCTCATCTGAAAAGGAGCTAGAAGGGAAAAAAAAAATTTTTCTTTTTTTTTTTTAAATTTGAATTTCTGACAACCAGCTATAAAACTTTTTTGCTACAATCGAATACTAAAGAGTGAAACACTTTCACTATTAACTCAAGAAAGTCAAGTTAAGAACTTACTTTGAATTAAAAACAAGGAAAAAAAAATCTACATTTAGCACTAAATTAAAATTATTAATATATATATATATATATATATATATATATATATATATATATATATACATACACACTTGTTTAGAAGCCGCCCTATCAGGCAGCATTTAAGCTAGCTCCTGTAGAGAGATCTTGATTAAGCCTTTATCAAAATAGGTAGGGAGGAGTAGACATGATAGGCAACAAGAAACTATAGAAGAACTCAAAATTAATCGCTTCATTTAAGTATTGCCTTAATATTTAAGCTTACCTTTTAAAAGTTCAACAATAATTCTTCTGCTGCCACTTAATTTAAAGGCAATTTGATGTACGTAGGTCTTTACTTTCCATACAAACAATTATTTATATTTCATGGGTGACTTTTGCTGGATTTTGCAATTAATTTCTATTATTCTTAAATTTATTTCCAAGTTATAAAAATTGTTATCATACAAAAAAATTATTGCCAAAAAATCACAAAGTAAACAAAAATAAAAAAGATGCCAAAAACAATCGCAGTAATAAAAACTTAGGAACCCAAAATTTCAGGATTGCAGGTCCTGATCTGACCCAGAACATTTTTAAGTTGCTCACAGAGTCAGCCTGATTCCAAAATGGTATGATATATTGGGATACAGTCTCTAGGAGTAAAGTTGAAAACACACAATTTTATTTTGAAATATTGTAATTTGAGAACAGTAATGTTTTCATTTGAACATGAGCTATTGAAAGTTAGAGAGTTATGTTCCTTTAATTGTTTTTCATCAGTAGAAGCCAAGATGGAGAAAACTGAAAACAATCATAGCAATGAAAACTTAAGAATCCAAAATTTCAGTATTGCAGGTTGGGAATGGTATGATATGTTGGGCTACAACCTTTCGGAGTAAAGTTGAAAAAGTGCAACACAGTGACAGTGACATTTGTATCTATTATATAGATATATATATGTGTGTATAGGTATGTGTTTGTATGTTATCATCAGCAACTAAACCAGCAACTGTACTCCAAATGTGAATAAGACTGGTATTAACTGATAGGAAATATCCCCTAAGCATTGAAAGCAAAATGAGACCAGCATGCTCATCTTGATTGTTATAGGGCAGTTGTCAGTGGAAGTTCAATCTCTTTGAATTGCAAGAGAAAAAGTTGAGAGAAAGAAGTGGACAAGCAACACAAAGGTGAATAAGTCTGGTGAGTATTAACTGATAGGAAATATCCCTAAGCAAACAAATACAAGTATGCTCATCTTGATTGTTATACTGGCAGTTGTTCATTTTTTCACTTGGGGATTAACCAAGGTAATTCACAAACACAAAGTTGTGAATTAACTGATAGGAAATATCCCCAATGCAAACAGAAGCAATATGCTCATCTTGGTTGTTATACTGGCAGTTGTTATACTTTCTTGTTGAGAGGGGAAAAGGGACAAGCAACACAAAGGTGAATAAGACTGGTGATTAACTGATAGGAAATATCCCTCAAGCATGCAAAGCAGAAGAAGACCAGTATGCTCATCTTGGTTTTATTGGCAGTTGTTAGCACTGCCACTCACAGGGATTGAACTAAGGCATATACTCTTGTTGAGAGGGGAAAAGGGACAAGCAACACAAAGGTGAATAAGACTGGTGAGTATTAACTGATAGGAAATAGTTAAGCATGCAAAGAAGAAAGACCAGTATGCTCATCTTGGTTTGTTATACTGGCAGTTGTTAGCACTGCCACTCACAGGGATTGAACTAAGGCATATACTCTTGTTGAGAGGGAAAAGGGACAAGCAACACAAAGGTGAATAAGACTGGTGAGTTATTAACTGATAGGAAATATCCCTAAGGGACAAAACACATGCAAAGCTGAGAAGAAGCATGCAAAGCAGAAGGTAAATCTTGTTATTCGGCAGTTGTTTGCCACCACAGGGATACCAGTATGCTCATCTTGGTTTAACTGATTATATCTGGCAGTTGTTAGGGCATGCCATGCTCATCTTGGTTGTTATACTGGCAGTTGAACTGCCATTCACAGGGATTGAAGGGAAAAGGCATATACTCTTGTTGAGAGGGGAAAAGGGACAAGCAACACAAAGGTGAATAAGACTGGTGAGTATTAACTGATAGGCTAAGCATGCAAAGCAGAAGGAGACCAAACTCATCTTGGTTTTATAAGTTATTATATTATTCATTCAGGATTGAACCAAGGCATATACTCTTGTTGAGAGGGAAAAAGGACAAACAACACAAAGGTGAATAAGACTGGTAATATTCTTGATAGGTTATCCCTATACATGCAAAGCAGAAGAAGACCTTTTTTCATCTTGGTTGTTATACTGGCAGGCACTAAAAAAGGAACCAAGGCATATACTTGTTGAGAGGGAAAAGGGACAACAACACAAAGGTGAATAAGTCTGGTGAGTATTAACTGATAGGAAATATCCCTAAGCATGCAAAGCAGAAGAAGACCAGTATGCTCATCTTGGTTGTTATACTGGCAGTTATTAGCACTGCCATTCACAGGGATTGAACTGCATATACTCTTGTTGAGAGGGGGGAAAAGGGACAAGCAACACAAAGGTGAATAAGACATTTGAGTATTAACTGATAGGAAATATCCCCTAACATGCAAAGCAGAAGAAGACCATATGCTCATCTTGGTTGTTATACTGGCAGTTGAGCCATTCAAAGGTGAATTGAAAAGGCATACTCTTGTTGAGAGGGGAAATGGGACAAGCAACACAAGGTGAATAAGACTGGTGAGTATTAACTGATAGGAAATATCCCTAAGCATGCAAAGCAGAAGAAGACCAGAAGTTTGTTATACTGGCAGTTGTTAGCACTGCCACTCACAGGGATTGAACTAAGGCATATACTCTCTTGTTACTGGAAAGGACAAGCAACACAAAGGTGAATAAGAATTAACTGATAGGAAATATCCCTAAGCATGCAAAGCAGAAGAACCAGTATGCTCATCTTGGTCATTTATACTGGCAGTTGTTAGCACTATTTTGGGGATTGAACTAAGGCATATACTCTTGTTGAGAGGGGAAAAGGGACAAGCAACACAAAGGTGAATAAGTCTGGTGAGTATTAACTGATAGGAAATATCCCTAAGCATGCAAAGCAGAAGAAGACCAGTATGCTCATCTTGGTTGTTATACTGGCAGTTGTTAGCACTGCCACAGGGATTGAACCAAGGCCACACAAAAAGGGATTGAACTAAGAAATATCCATGAAAGCATATACATCTTGTTGACTGGAGGGGAAAGGGACAAGCAACACAAAGCAACACAAAGGTGAATAAGTCTGGTGAGTATTAACTGATGAAAATAAGCATCTGACCAGTATTTCATCTTTGGTTGTTATACTGGCAGTTATTAGCACTGCCATTCACAGGGATTGAACTAAAGGCATATACTCTTGTTGAGAGGGAAAAGGGAAGCAACACAAAAGGCAAGCAAAGAAATATCCCCTAAAGATAAGACCAGTATGCTCATCTTGGTTGTTATACTGGCAGTTAACTGATCACAGGGATTGAACTAAGGCATATACTCTTGTTGAGAGGGAAAAGGACAAGCAACACTTGGTTTGTTATAGGAAAATCCTAAGTTGCAAAGCAGAAGGAGACCAGTATACATCTTGGTTGTTATACTGGCAGTTCACACTGGGGATTGAACCAAGGCATATACTCTTGTTGAGAGGGGGAAGCAACATTTTTGAATAAGAACTTTTAATGCAAAGCAAAAAAAGCCACTCCACAGGGGATTGAACAAGGCATATACTCTTGTTGAGAGGGGAAAAGACAAGGTGAATAAGACTGGTGAGTATTAACTGATAGGAAATATTTTTGCAAAGCAGAAGGAGACCAGTATGCTCATCTTGGTTGTTATACTGGATAGCACTGCCATTCACAGGGATTGAACTAAGGCATATACTCTTGTTGAGAGGGAAAAGGGACAAGAAAAAGGTAATAAGACTGGTGAGTATTAACAGAAATATCCCCTAAACATGCAAAGCAGAAGGAGAATATGCTCATCTTGGTTGTTATACTGGCAGTTATTAGCACTGCCACTCACAGGATTGAACCAAGGCATATACTCTTGTTGAGAGGGAAAAAGGGACAAGCAATTAACTACAAAAAAAGTTACCAATATGCTCATCTTGAATGGCAGTTCACAGGGGATTGAACCAAAGGCATATACTCTTGTTGAGGGAAAATTAATGCTCACTTGGTTGGATTAACAGGGATTGAAAAATATC